TCATCGTAAATGGAGAGGTCGTCCCACATTGAGCTGTCAACCTTGAAGGCTTCCTGAGGCCCCACAGGTGGTGCTCCGCGTACTGCTCCAGCGAGTTTGGCACTGTGGTCAGCCTTTGCCTTGGCGCATGCGCTCTGTTCCTGGGCGAGGTCAAGGGCGGCTTGCTCTTGTTTGTCCACGGCGTCGTCGTGCCACTGCTTGGCGGTCTCGACGTCGTCGACCGTTTGCTGGAACTTCTTCTCCCTGTCGGTGAGGACTGACAGCGCCGACTGGAGCACCTGCTCGGCTGTGCGGGCAGGCGGAGGCTTGTCGGGCTGCTGGAGGGCGTCCTTGAGGTTGCCGACGAGTTCGGCGTGCTTGGTGTCGCTGAGGAGCGTGCTGAGCGCGGCGAGGATGGCGTCCCTTGTAGGGGCGGCGGCCGCTGGCGGCTCCTTCCACGGCGGTGGCTTGCTGGCTCCTGCCCAAGCCCCTGTGGGCTGGCGGTGTTCGGCAGGTGATGGAGCCAGCTGCTTGCCACAAGAGAAGCACTCGGACTTTCCCTTCCATGTCCATCGGTATCGGCACTGCTTGCAGACTTTGTATTGGCTTGCGAACCTTGCTGGCGAGCCTCGTCCGCCTTCAGGGCGTGCGCGTCGCGGCCTGGTGCCGCCAGCATTGGCGGCAGCTCCTCCGTCAGCAGGGGCGGTCCCTCCACCACGATCCGCGGCGGCCATCGTCTCTCTGCTTCCCAGGGGGCTCTCGCGAGCAGCGCAAGGGAGGAATATTAAGTGGGCGGCAGCTCGCCCGTGAGTGTGGCTGCGGATACGAAAAGCATTGAAAGCTGTGGGAGCCTACCCCAGATAGGCAGTGAAATGAACACCATTTTTGGCCTTGAGCCAACATGGCTTGAGCCAAAATGGCTACGGAGGAGGAGGAGGAGGAGGAAGAGGAGGAGGAGGAGGAGGAGGAGGAGGAGGATGTAGGAGGAGGAGGAGGAGAATGAGGAGGGGAGGGGGAGGAAGAGAGGCCGGGGGATTGTGGAATTCCTCGTCGTTTTTTGGTTTTTATCGAGCGGAACGGTCCTTCATCTTTATTAACTTGTTTTTTTGCGATTTGTCTGTTCGCCGTGGTCCCCTCGTCATATGCTTTGTCTCGACATGTCGTTCTCTCGTGTTCTCTCTCTCTCTCTCTCTGTCCATCCCTTGCACCAGGCCAGTGCATGCCGATGCGATATCAGTCCATTGCCAACCAATGCCAATGCCATGAAAAGGGGGGGTCCTTCCGTTCGGTGGATTTCAACCAGATTTCTTTGTGGACGGTGTCATTACAAATCCTGCTTCGGAGGATTTCAATCGGAATGCCTTTGTGCAGGGTTTCGGTTGGCATCCTCCTGCGGAGGGTTTCGCGAGGAATCCAACAAAGTCAGTAGGAGCCCTTTTGCGGAGGGAGCCATAGTCTCGCCAGCGCAATGCCACCGCAATGCCGAAGCAGTGCCATCTCAATGCCAAGCCAATGCCAAGACGATCCCAATCCAATGCCAACGCAATTCCAACAATGGAGGGCCTGTGTGGTACATGTTACAAGGAATCCTATTCCTGGAGGGTTTCAATCGGAATCGTTGAGCGAAGGGGGGCGCAAGGACTCGCTTGCGCAATCCCAGCGCACTGCGCAATGCCAAAGCAGTGCCCAATGCTATGTGTGAATGGGGGAATCCTTTCGCTCAGTGGATTTCAATCAGAATCTTTTGTGGACGGTGTCGTTGCGAATGTTTCTTCGGAGGAATTCAATAGGAATGCTTCAGTGCAGTGTTTCGTTTGGCATCCTCCTGTGGAGGGTTTCACTCGTAATCCTTTTTTTGGGGCTTCAGTTGAAGTTCTTCTGCGGAGGGGGCCACTAGGATTCGCGAGCGCATTGCCATCGCAATGCGGACGCACTGTCATCGCCATGCCAAGCCAATGCCAAGGCGATCCCAATCCAATGCACATGCACTGCAATGGGGGTGTAATCCTCTGTTATAGATTCCAGACGGGATCTTGCGTGTGTGGATGGTTTCAATGGAAACCGTTCTGCGAAGGGGGACCATGCCAACGCAGTGCCAGCGTAATGCCAAATCAACGCCACGGCGATCCAAACATAATGCCGATACAACCCCAATGGAGTGGATTCTTTGTGTTAGCGTTCAATGACAATCCTTCTAAGAACCCTTCTATGGATGATGTCATCCACAAAGGAATCTTTTTAAAGACCCTTCTGCATTGGATTTCAATAGGAAACCGTCTGTGGAGGGATTCACAGGGAGCCCTTCTGTGGAGGATTGCAATGTGAGTTCCTTTTTTGGGGGGACCCTTAGACATCATGTTTGTGGGCGTATTCATTCGGAGGCCTTCTGTGGATCGTGTTGTTTGGGACCCGCTTGCGCAATGCCATCGCAATGGCAACGCACTGCCATGACAATGCCAACACCGTGCCAACGCGATGCCAAACCGTTGCCAAACCACTGCCAATGCAATGTCGATGGCATGATTCCAGTCTTTCAACAGATTCCAACATAAACCCTTCTGTGGATGATTTGGGTACGGATCCCTTTTTTCGGAGGGTGTCGATCGGAATCTTCCCGGGGCGGGTTTCGACAATAATCCTTCAATGGAAGGTTTTGCCATGAACCTTTCATGTGGGGGCTTTCAAAAAGGAGCCCTTTCGTGTGGATGGTTTCAGTAGGAATCCGCCTATGGTGGGAGCCATTAGAACTCGCCATCGCAACGCCAAAGAAGTGCCAACGCAATGCCAAACCAATGCGATGGCAATCCCAATCCAATCCCAATGATATGCTTGGGGGCAATCGATTGTGGTCGGTTTCAATAGGATTTCTTTTATGGAAGGCTTCGAATGGGTTCAATCTGAGCCCTTCTTGTGGAATGTTTCAATCGGGATCCTTATTGTGTGGGACAGAATAGGAATCACTCTGCGAAGGGAGGTATTGGAACTCGCCAGCGCAATGCCAAAGCAGGGCCGACGCAATGCCAACCTAACGCCAAGGTGACCCGAACTCAATGCCAATGCAATGCCAATGGGGGAACGCATGTGTGATCGATTGCAGTAGTATTCATTTTGTGGAGGGCTTCGCATGCAATCCTTCTGTGTAGGGTTTCAACATGAATGGGGCGTGTTTGGGGAGGGTTTCGATCGGAACCCTTGTGGTAGAGGGTTTCAATCTGCGTCGTTGTGTGGAGAGTTCCATTTGGAACCGCCAGCGCAATGCTTGCGACATGCAATCGCAATGCCAACGCACCGCCAAACGCTATGCCAACGCAGTGCCAATGGGATGTCTAACCATGGCCAAACCAATGCCAATGCAATGCCATGCAGGGTATTTCTCTCTTCCGAACGCATCATATCAATAAAAAGAAGCTCTTATTCTAAGGGAAAAAGGAGGAGGATGAGGATGAGGAGGAGGCGGAAGAGGAGGAGGAGGAGGACGAGGAGGAGGAGGATGAGGAGGAGGAGGAGGAGGAGAAGAGGAAGAGGAAGAGGAGAGGAGGCGGAGGAAAGAGGAGGAGGAGGAGGAGGAGGAGAGGAGGAGGAGGAGGAGAGGGGAGGAGGAGAGGAGGAGGAGGAGAGGAGGAGGTCGGGGCATCCCTCTTCCCCCTCATCTCCTCCCCTCCTCTTCCTCCTCCTCCTCCTCTTCCTCCTCCTCCTTTCTTTTTTTGTTGTGTTTGATTCTCCTGCCCCCCCCCCTAACAAAAACGCGGAGCGATCTAGGTTTTTTGTGTTTTTTTTTTGGGGGGGTGGGGGGTGGGGGTTGGGGGTGGTGGTGGTGGTGGTCGGGGGGGGGGGCAGGATGATGACCAGCCCGACTCTGGAGGAGAGGAGGAGGAATAGGGCTGGTGAGAGAAAACGAAGGGGGCGTTCGACTCCCCCCCCCCTACCCGAACAAAATCGAGGCCGCTCCGCGTTTTTTTTTTTTTTTTTTTTTTTGGGGGGGGGGGGGGGCAGGAAGATCAGACCAACATAAAACACATCTGAGGAAAGGAGGAGGGGGAATAGGAGGAGGAGGAGGGGGAGGAGGCAGGAGGAGGAGAGGAGGAGGAGGAGGAGGAGGGGGAGGATGATACTGATACGGATAATGGGGGAGGAGGTTGATGAGCAGGAGGACGAGGAGGAGAAGGAAGAGGAGGAGTAGGAGGAACATGGGATGGAGAAACGGGAAATCACCCTCCGAGAGACGAGGTACTCCGCAATCCCCCGTTCCCGAGGAGGAGGAGGAGGAGGATGACGAGGACGAGGAGGAGAATGAGGAGAACGATGATAATGAGGATATTGAGGGGAATGATGACGATGCTGATGATGATGCTGATGATGATGATGCTGCTGATGATGATGATGATGCTGCTGCTGATGATGATGATGATGATGAGGTTGATGCTGATGATGCTGCTGATGATGATGACGATGATTATAATGATGATGAGGATGATGCGGTTGCTGCTGATGTTGATGATGATGATAATGATGATGATGTTGCTGATGATGATGATGCTGATGCTGATCATGCTGATGATGATGATGATGATGAGGATGATGATGATGATGATGCTGATGATGATGATGATGATGATGATGATGATGATGATGATGAGGATGATGATGATGACGACGATGATGATGATGATGATGATGATGATGATGATGATGATGATGATGATGATGATGATGATGATGATGATGATGATGATGATGATGATGATGATGATGATGATGATGATGATGATGATGATGATGATGATGATGATGATGATGATGGTGATTCTGATGATGAAGCTGATGATGATGGTGATGATGAGGAGGAGGAGGAAGACGAGGAGGAAGAGGATGATGAGGAGGCGGAGAATGAGGAGGAGGCGGAGGAGGACGAGGAGGAGGAGGAGGAGGAGGAGGAGGAGGAGGAGGAGGAGGAGTGCCTGCAGGAGAGAGCGGGGGCGCGGTAATTTATCTTTTGCCCTGCGTGCCCCACCCCCCAGTGGCAGGACGCTGGAGGTCGAGGAGCGGACGTCACGCCGCCGCGAGGAGCTCGCCCAAGACCTCCACGACCTGAGGGAGGAGGGGCTGCTGCTGCAGGAACAGCTGGCGGCCCAGCGGCGGGGCCTGAGGTACAGGCTTCGGGTGCAGCCTCAACGGGCTGTTGCCCCAGTGCCGTCACATGGGGTGGGGGGCGCGTTGGGGAACAGCTCCTCCTCTTCCTTCCTCTTCCTCCTTCCTCCCCCCATCTCCTGTCCTGAGTGCCTTCCTCCTCCTTTTCCATCCTCCTCCTCCTCCTTTTCTTACTTCTCCTTTCGTACGCTTTGCCTCCTCCTCATCCGCCCCCTTCGCCGTGGGGTATCTGCATGATTGCGGCATTCGGGTGGGGGTGGTTGTTACCAGAAGACGTTTGACATCACATGGTCAGTCTTCAACCGTCTCAGCTTGCGCTTTTGCCCTCCCACGTGCCCCCTGGCCACTTGAACCCTCCTTATTGCACCCCCCTTTGGCATCTCCACAGGCTGCTGTGCCTGGAGGAGGATAACCCAGGGCCAGGGCAGCTAAATCGTGCCGCTGTAGTCGTCCCTCCTCAACCTACCTCCACCGCTACCGCTACCCCTACCCCTACCCCTACCCCTACCCCTACCAGAACTTCTACCCGTGACTCTTCCTTTGCCTCTGCCCCTGCCCCTCCCCTCCCTCCTCCCCCCCTCCCCCTCCCGCCCCCTCCCCCAACTACTCCCACTCCCTGCTCCCGTCCTCGTTGTTGTCCCCCTTCCAGCAGAGTCGGTGCACCCAGAGCGCTTTTGCCCAGTACCCCGTCGGAGAGGAATGAACGGAGGAGGAGGGAGGAGGAGGAGGAGGAGGAGGAGGAGGAGGAGGAGGAGGAGGAGGACCAGTGTAAACCCAAGAGTCATCGACGATGTTGGATTAAACCCTCCCTCCAAGCTCCCTCTTCATAGGCCCTTATAATCGTTCATTCCAATTACGGTGCCTCTTTGGAAGACAACCGTTTGAAGACCCTGAAGCATGCCAAAACATTGTTCTCGGGATTCCAACGCCACAGATCAACCTGACTGTTGCGTCTTGACAATCCTACATCGTGCCAGCACACCATGCCTGGGACTTCAACACAGCGAGCCAACATAACTGTTGCACCCGCATAATTCTGAACCTTTTCAAAACACAATCTCTGGCACGCAGAGGATGGGAATTCGTGGAGCTCTCGTATTTTTTAACCGGATGTGCGCCGCGTTAAGGCGAGAAACACATTTTGAAAAGGAACCGCCCTCAGCCCGTGAAACTCTTGCGAACTTTAAAACCGAATGTGCGCCGCGCTACGGCGAGAGCCACATTTTGAAAACGACCCGCCCTCAACCAGTGAACCTTTGGAAAATGTTTCAAACGAATGTGTGCCGCGCTGAGGCGAGAACCGCATTTTGAAAACGACCAGCCCTTCATTTGTGACAAATGTTAAATCTTCGTGGTCATACATCGTGAGGAAGTCTCAGGCGAAACGCCTGGCCCGCCCTAAAATCTGGCCTCGGGGTGCGACAGGGAGAAGTTATTTATAAGGACAAGGAATGGAGGAGGAGGAGGAGGAGGAGGAGAAGGAGGAGGAGGAAGAGGAGGAGGAGGAGGGAGTCAGTATCAGTTTGCGTATCAGTATGGACCCATCGCTGTGCACGGGAGATTTCTCCATTTACCGTGCACGGCTTTCGGAGCAGAGGTTGTCGCATTGGGCGAAGTGCCAAGGGAGATTACTGCTCTACTTTATCAACTGAGACAAAAGGCTGGCATTTAGGTTTTGAGACCGTCATGGACGTAACAGAACAGAGCGAAGGAGGAGGAGGAGGAGGAGGAGGAGGAGGAGGAGGAGGAGGAGGAGGAGGAGGAGGACGAGGCGGAAGAGGATGAGGCGGAGGAGGTCTCGAAGACTGGTTCCTTTCCCTTGTTTTTTCAATGTTTTTGCTTGCTGCCCCGGCTCTGTTTTTTTGTTGTTCGAAGAGGAGGGGGAGGAGGAGGAGGAGGAGGAGGAGGAGGAGGAGGATCCCAGCGATTCCAGCAAGCAGGTGTGAACGAGTGCAAGCTTGGCCCTGGCACCAGACCCTTACGGGGTTGGGAAGGACATGCCGTACTTCGGGGGCTCGCCTTCCGCCAGCCTGTCGAGGTTTCGTCTGCCAGTTGCAGACGGCTCGGGAGGGCAAGGCTGGGACAGCTTCTGCGCCAGGCTGACCGCAACTCTCCCGCAGCTTCGACAAAACAAAACACTTTTTTTGAATTCAGCCAGGACGTGCGTCGGATACGCACGGGCAAAAAACGGATGCCCATTCGGATTCCTCAGGATCAAGCCAGCCGCCTGAGAGGGGCCCAATCCAACCACCTCCGAGGACCCAAGCGCCAACGCCCCAGGGCACCGAGCGGGCCAGAAACTCGCGAGCTCACCTTGGACAGCAGGAGTTTTGCTAAAGCAACGTGTACGCTTAAAGACACTACCATATTTGACAACATAATGGCCCTGCTTGGTAAGCCGGAACCTGCGCACATTATTCGAGCTGGGGCCTTTCCCTCGATGGTGCTCTCTGCCTGGTCTATCCTCGCGGGTCCTGGGGCAAGTTCGGAAAACTTGCCGAGAGATTGCAAGGAGCCCTTTCATCACGGAGAGGCAGATCTCATCTACATTCTTAAGTTGCATTATCTTCTGGGAGGGCCCCAAACTTATCAGCTTCCCCCGCAAAATCGTCAGCTACACCATTGGCGACTAAGCCATGAGGGGTCAGGCGGTGGGCGGAGACCTCCTTCCAAGCGCTATGACTCTTGCACCATCGCACTTCGAGTTGGCCTGACCTGCAACTCACCACAGATCGAGCATACTCGAGTGGTAATTTTGAGCTTAGATCTGTTAATGGTGCGCGCAGGTGGCAAATAGTCGGAGGAGGAGGAGGCGGAGGAGGATGCGGAGGAGGATGAGGAGGAGGAGGACGAGGAGGAGGATTGATTGAGCACTTCTTTAGGGGTGAGGGGACTCGGCTTGCTCGCTCTGCCAACTCGTGATTCGCATGCCACCAGCAGTCCTGGCCGCGCCGCTGCGCCCGGTCACTCTGCAAGAGAATCGTTAAGAAGGACGGCCCTGCCTTTGCCCCCAAGCACGGTGGGAGAGGGAGCCGACCTTGATCCGAACCGTCAGGCTCTACGTCGCCTCAGGGGTGAAGATCTTGAGCTGCAGTCGATCCACGTCGCCCTGGGAGGACGCGACATCTGTGGCGAGGAACGTTCCTATGCGCGTGAGCTTGTTCGTGAAGTTTTCTCCATCTTGTCGACCTGTCTGGGGTCGGCATCCTTGAGCCTCTCGTCATTGGCCTTCATCTTTAAGCCAATATTCGTGACATCCGTGAGCTTTTGTTCAACGGCCTCGAACATCAGTTCGGTCGCCTGCTCCTGCTGCTGCAGATGCTGCTGATGCTTCTCGAAGCTGTCGCTGACGAGCTTCAGCTTCGCGACCTGACCGGCGATATCCGTTTCAATTTTAGCATGAATTTGCTATAGCTGCTCAATCTTCTGCTGCTGCTGCTTCTTCAGCTGCACGTCAAGTTTCGTCTGGGTCATCTTGGGGACCTCGTTGGGGGCCTTGCGCTCAAGCTGCCCCTGCATATTCTTGCAACTGCCACTGTCCGCGGAGTTCTTATGCTCGTTCCAGCGCTGTGTAACCTTGAAGAGCTCGAGGAGCGCGGCTGCCTGCCCTCGAGGCTGAACTGCACGATTGCGTAATTTGCTGAGCGTACCCAGCCGCCCTGCACGCGACCCCTCGCCTGCTGAAGCCTGGCAGCGAGCGGCCCCAGCGCAGCCATGGCTTCCAAACCTCTGCTGCGCATAACCGCCGCCGGCCCGCCGAATGTCCTTAAGGGCACAGTGATTGGCCCACGTGGAGCTTCGTCCGAGGAGGGCGCGCTCATGTTGTACTGTGTCCAGTGTGCCCAGTATGCGCAGCTCCAGCCCACAAGGCTGGCTCAGAAGTGTGTCGCCAGTCGGTCAGGTGCCTGCCTCGACAAGGCGGGTAGCGAGCGGCGGAGCCGCTCTGAGCGTGGCCTCTACCCGCGTACGGGGCAGAAGGAAGTCGTCCTCGAGAGGTGGGCCCTCCAGGACCTGGGATTTCTTCTTCAAGGGGGCGAGCGTACGTGGGCATCCGACCCCTCTGCAGCTGTCACAGTCGGCACCAGTCGGAGACCAATAGTAAGCTCCTCTCTCCCCCCTCCCTCTCCCTGCTCCCCCACCCGCTGCGAGGCAGTCGGGCGAGTGCCTGCCGTCAGCCGCTGGGCGCTGGAACGCTGCACCAACCCCATCCCGCCGCTACCGGCACAGCTCCAGCGCGCATCGGCTGGCCCTCGACCGGCGAGCCACGGCCCGCCCACCCGCGCCCCCCTTCCCCGTCCCTCGGAGGAGCGGCAGTACCTCCTGTTGGCCCTCGACGACGAGCGCGCCCGGCGCGAGGACGAGGCCGTCGCGGAGGCCGCGGCCACGGCCGCGCCGGGCGCGCTCGCCGACGGCGTCGCCGCCAGAGGCTTCGTGCGGGTAGCGGCGGAGGGCGGCCTCGAGGGACCGCCGCCCAGGCGCCCCGCCAGCGGGTCCGAGGACGGGGCTCGCAGAGTCGCCTTGAAGGGAGCGGGTCCTGAGGGGAAACGGGGCCCGAGGTTCTTCGCCGTTTTTCAATTCTCGGGCTTCCACGGGCCCCAGGACAGTCGTAAAATGGCTCGGGATGAAGAGCCGGTCTTGGGGGAAGGCCCGGTGACACAGGACCCGTTTCCCTCAGGACCCGTTCATGTCATGCCAACAGAGGGGGAGGGGGATTTTTTTATCAACCATCCTGCGTTGTTGGGTGCTCGTTTGAAAAGACAGCGCCCGCGTCTGCTTCCTCCCACTGCCCCCTCCTCACCATCCTCCCATCCCTGCCTCTGTCCTCCGCACCAGTAAACCATTGCCGGCACACCCCTCACACGTTTCGAGGCCCCATAGGGAGCTCTACCGAAGGCCCCAGAGGCTGCGTTCGCATGGCGCCACCGCACCCCATTTGGCATACCCCTCACACAATTCGTGGCCCCATACAGTGCTCCACCGAAGGCCCCAATGGTTGCGCTCGCATGGCACAACCGCGCCCATTCCGCCACACCCCTCACACGTTTCGTGGCCCCATGGGGAGTTCCACCGCAGGCCCAAGCGGCTGCGCTCGCATAGCACCACCACACCTATTTCGGCCCACCACTCACATAATTCGTGGCTCCACTCCACCGAAGGCCCCAAGGGTTGCGCTCGCATGGTACCACCGCGCCCATTTTGGCACACCCTTCACACGTTTCGTGGCCACGTAGGGAGCTCCACCGAAGGCCCCAGTGGCTGCGCTCGAATGGCACAACCGCGCCTATTCATTTCGGCACAGTTTCGTGGCCCCATAGGGAGTTCCACCGAGGGCCCCAGTGACTGCGCTCCACCGCACCCATTCCGCCACACCCCTGACAGGTTTCGTGGCTCCATGTGGAGCTCCACCGAAGGCCCCAGTGGCTGCGCTCGCATGGCACCACCACGCCCAATTTCACCACCCACCAAACCACCCCAACCCAACCCGAAGGCCTCAATTTGCCCTCCATTTCCAGTGGGGGGGGGTCGGGGAACACCGCAAAAACACATATGGAACCCGTACCCCCCCCAACCCGAAATTGAGGTCTTCGGGTTGGGTTGGGGTGGTCTGGTAGGTAGTCACAATTCGACACACCCCTCATATCTTTCGTAGCCTCATGGGGAGTTCCACCAGGGACCCAGTGGCTGCGCTCGCATGACACCACCGCGCCCAATTCGCCACACCCCTCACACGTGTCGTGACCCCATACGGAGCTCTACCGATGGCCCCAGTGGCTGCGTTCGCATGGCACCACCGCAGCCATGTCGCCACCCCCCTCACAGGTTTCGTGGCCCCATGGGGAGCTCCACCGAGGGCCCCAGTGGCTGCGCTCGCATGGCAACACCGCGCCCAATTCGGCACACCATTCACACGTTTCGTGGCCACATCGGGAGCTCCACCGAAGGCTCCACCCAGTGGCTGCGCTCGCATGACACCACCGCACCCACCCATTTCGGTACAACTTCGTGGAGTTCCGCCGAGGGCCCCAGTGGCTGCGCTCGCATGGCGCCGCCGCGCTCATTTCGCAACACTCCTCACACGTTTCGTAGCCCTATGGGGAGCCCCCGAAGGCTCCACTGGCTGCGCTCGCGTGGCACCACCACGCCCAATTCGACACACCTCTCACGCGTTTCGTGGCCTCATGGGGAGCTCCTCCGAAGGCCCCAATGGCTTCGCTCGCATGGCACCACCGCGCCCATTTTGCCACACCCCTCACACGTGTCGTGGCCCCATACGGAGCTCCACCGATGGATCCAGTGGCTGCGTTGGCATAGCACCACTGCGCCCATGTTGGCGCCCTCCTCACTCGTTTCGTGGCCCCATATGGAGTTCCACCGAGGGCCCCAGTGGCTGCGCTCGCGTGGCACCCCGCACCCATTCCGCCACCCCCATGGGGAGCTCCACCGAGGGTCCCGGTGGCTGCGCTCGAATGGCGCCACCGCGCCCAATTCGGCACACCCTGCACACGTTTCGTGGCCCCATGGGGAGCTCCACAACGCGGTATTTACAGTTGAATATGGTTGGGCCTTGCGTCACGATGATTTTTTATGTCCTGGCGCGTAGATTCCCTCGGGAACGGTAAGGATCGTACGCGTGGAACAGGAAGGATCGTACGCAGGGGAGCCTGGACCGGACCCCTCCATCCACATGCTGGCGATCGCGCGCATTTTGTGGGGATCGCAGCGCACCCCTGCCCCGATGTGCCCCACCCAGCGCAAGCGTTACCAATACCCAGGGCCCCTAACCCCTATCCCCCAGGGTAGCGACCTACAAAACAATCTCGAATTATCCCAGGGCGGGGTCCAGGAACCCAGTCGGACGCTTCCTCTTCCTTCTTCCAGGGGCCGCTCAGAACGAGTTTCTTTTAACCCAATTTCAGCCCGTGCCCCACTTTTGCGTCTCCCCGAGAGGACTGGCCAGAGCCCGCTGTGTCAGACGTGCCAGGCGCGGGGTCCTCCCTGCTCGACGAGATCGGGCTGTCGCCAGAGGTGGGCGTGGCGGCGGCGGGCGGGAGATAGGGTTGGGGGCTTCATTCTCGTCGTCGTCGTCGTCGTTCTCATCGTCGTCGTCGTCGTCGTCGTCGTCGTCGTCGTCGTCGTCGTCGTCGTTTTCATCGTCGTCGTCGTCGTCGTCGTCGCCTGTCGTCCATCGTCTATCGTCCGTCGTCCGTCGTTCGTCGTCGTCGCTCATCGTCGTCGTTGCCCATCGTCCTGTTCGTCTGGTTATTCTCGCCGTCTTCGCGGTCGTGGTGGTGGTGGTGGTCGTTGTCGTGCTGCTGCTGCTGCTGCTCCTCCTCCTCCTCCTCTTTTTCGCCTGGCTTCCCCAGAGGCGAGCAGTGGAGCGAGCCCCCTGCTCATCGGGTCGGTGGCGGCCGCCGCCAGATCGAGGACACCTGGCGGCAGAGCTCCGCCCAGAGACTCTCCATGCGGACGTCCACTTTCACCCGCCCACGCGCTGGTGTTGCTCACTATTCTCGTCTGGCCGCCTGGTCACCCCTCGTCGCTGCGGCGGGGCGACTGGTTGGGCGGCTCCCAGGGAGTGAAGTGTGCAACCGCCTTAGTCTGCTTGAGCGGACTTTGTCTTGCGAAAGATCTGGGGAAGGGGAGGCCTTTCTCCTCGTCGTCGTCGTCGTCTTCATCCGTCTCCCTCATCCTCATTCTCCTCTGTCCCCATCTCCCCTTCCTTATTCAGTGGGGGTGGGACTTCACAGAGCCCATGCCTCTTGGGGGGTTTCTTGAGGCCTATTGGAGGCCTCCTGCGGGCCTCTCGTGGTCCTTTTGGGCGTCTCTTGGCGCCTGCTGGACGTCTGGCATATGGAGCCCCCCCTACCCCAAGCTGACCTCAGAGACGGCCAGCAAGCCCCCAAGAGGCCCCCAAGAGGCCGCCCGGAGGCCTCAAGGGACCGTTATGGGGTACTCCTGGCCCCTTTGGGAGCATGGAGGCCGTCTTGGAGCCATCTTGGGCCGTGTTGGCCGCCCTTGAGACCGAAAATAAAAGAATGCTAACACTATGCAGAAACATGTTTTTCAATCATTTTGGCTCCTTGGATTGGCCCAGGTGGCCCAAGGGGCTCCCCAGAGTGCTCCCTCACGGACCCCTGGGACCATCTTATGGCATGTTGGAGGTTGAGACCCCCAATACATGTAGTTTGCCAGCATTCGTTTTGAAGGGGTGGGCGACAGAGGGGGGGCCGAGGGAGCACTGCCCCCTCCTGCTTGCATAACTTTCCCGGATTGGGGAGCATACTGCTCCATGCTGGCGCGCCGCCCCCCGCGGCGCGCGTGCCTGTGACGACCTCCTTCGTGGGGCCGCGCCATGCCGCCCAAGCTCGGCCCAGGCAGGGGCTGGGGCGGGCGTGGCGGCGGCGGTGGCGGCGCTGCCGGCCGAGGCCGCGGGGCCCGTGGCCGCGGCGGCGGGGCGGCACCGGGGCTCCCGGACGAGCAGGCGGACGCGGCGGCCGCGGGGCTGGAGCAGGTGCCGCGCCGCCCCCTGGGGCCCCGCTGCTCTGGCCGGGTGCTGGGCTCGCGGTCGGCGGAGGCGCGCTGCATGGCGGTGCACCGCCGGGGGCGCTCGTGCTGGGCTGGGCGGCGCGCAGCCTGCTGTCGCGGCAGGGCGTGGCCGTGGACGCGCGGGCGGCCGCGGGCTGCATCGGGCCATCGTGGCCGCGGCCCGCGCGTGCGGAGGCAATGCGCGTGAGGCAGCTGGAGGGCTGGGCCAGCTCGTCAGGGGCTTCGGCGTGCGGCTCACGGACGCGGGGATCCGGGCCGCCGTGGCCGGGCTCCAGGGAGCGGCTGTGGGCCCAGCTGGGGCAGCCCTGCCTGCGGCCGCGGGCGGCTGTGCGATGCCTGGTGCTGGCCTGGGGGCGAACGTCGGCGCGGCGCTGGCCGCAGCTGGCGGGCCAGCCCTTGGGGGGCCTCAGGGGCTCGACGTGCCCGTGCTGCCCGCAGCTCCAGGCAGGGCGGCTTCGCCTGTGGGCGTGGCCGGCATCCCTGGTGCCAGGCTGCCGCAGCCAGCTGCCTGCCCCTCCGCCTGCGGACTCCGCGTGGATGGGGGAGGGGCTGCAGGCGGCGAGCTTTGCGCATCTCGGCGTCGGACCAGGCGTGGTGATCGAGATGCCGACGTTTGACGAGCACGGCATCGTCGAAGGCACGGCGATGCTCAAGCTGGGGCTGCAGTGGGCCGGCGAAGCGCTCGGCACGTTCGGCGTCGCGGAGTTCGCGGCGGCGTCGACGCCGCTTGCGACTTCGGTGCTGGATGATGTGTGGACTATGCCACCGCTCATCCACCTCTGCTGCGGCTCGCGTGAGACTCGTGCTGCGACGGCTGGCCATCGCTTTATCCTCCACGTGGATGTGTTCAGGGTGCGCAACCCAGCCACCATCACCGAACCGTGGGTGCGACAGCAAGCTCTTTTCGGCCCTGCGGTGCCTGGCGTTGCTGCTGCTCCTGGGACTGCTTCGGGTTCCGAGGCCACCTGCTTGGCAGCGAAGGTGGACGAGCTGAAATTGGCCTACAGCTCCATCAAGTGCAGGCAGCGGCAATCTCGATATCGTCGCTGCGGCCTGCACGAGGCACCGCCGCGCGAACGCGGCCGCGCGGACACAGGCATGGACGACGACGGCGCGAATGACGATCTGCTTTTTCGCGATGCCTTTTCCCTGCCAGGCAGCAGCAAACTTCTGGTTTTTGCCAGGAGCAGCCGGGTGCCCTGCGGCAAGCTGGCTTGGCGGGGATGGCCTGCTTCCTCGGGGGGCGGGAGGGGGCGAATCTGCAGTCGGGCTCGAGCTCGGCCCTGGTGCTGGCGTACCTCGCTAGCAGCTTCTTCGGTCAGCGCCCCCGGTCCTCCATCGACGTGCACGCGGTCAAAAAGACGAGGATCATCGCGTCGGCCATCGAAGCGTTGCCGCAGGGTCGCCTCCCACAGCTGTGTGACATGCTCATGCAGAGGCTGAAGGCGCCGGAGACGTGCGCAACAAGTATTGGGGAGTGGCGAGCCAGCTCGAGCTCACGGAGGAGACCCCGGGGCTGGTGGGCGCCTCCGATCGGGCCGCGGCGCGCCATGCGCTCGTGAAGGCGAAGCTGACGGAGCTGACGGGCCGCGCCCAGGGGCGATCGATGGCAAGCTAGGGGGGGCTGCGCGGGGGCGATGCGCCGCTCCTGCCCAGAGGCGACCGCCTCGCGCGCCCAGCCCCGTCGGCGCGCCGCCCCCTTTTGCGTTCACTTGGGCGCCGTGGCGCGTCGCTGGGCCGCCGCCGACGCCGCGGGCGCTGGCGGGGCGGCGGGGCCCCGGTTGGAGCAGCCGCGGCGCATCCCGCCCGCGCTTCTCCGGCATGTCGGCCAGGCCGCGGTCGCCGCGAAGATCGCCCAGCCCGAGCGGCGGCGCGCCGCCCGGGGCGCCGACCAGCGGGCCCCGAGTTGCGCTCGCGCCAGAGGTGGAGGCTGGGCACGCCCAGCCAGTCAGGAAGGTGATGCTGTTCGAGGGCGGCAAGGAGACGTCGGGGCCCCCGCCGTGGATCAGCCGCCCGCGGTCGCCCTCGCCGAAGGACCGCGGCCAGGCCTGCGGGAACGGCCGCGGCCGGGGGCGAGGGCGATCGCTGCTGGGGCGGGCGCCGGGGGCTAGCGAGGCCGCTGCTGCGCCGGGCGCCCTGGGGCCGAACGGTCTGCTTGGCGCGGGCGCCCCGCGCCCCGCTCGCAAGGTGGCGGCTGCGGCTCGGCGTGGGCATCGGTGTGAACCCCGGACGCGCCGTGCGCCCTCCTTGGCCTGATTTGGTCCTTGCCTTCCCGTCTTGGCCAAGTTGCGCGGGGGCTCGCGGATTTTGGGGGCGTGCCAACTTCTCGGGCTGCAGGGGGGCAGCGTGATCTACTCCCACTCTCCTCTCTTTCCCTCGGTGGCGACGGGCTTCGCGCGATGGCGGCCTCGTCGACGCAGTTCCTAGTGGCGTGCGAACTGTGGGTCTACATGTTGATCATGCTTAGGCCTCAACCACCTGTACGCCAACTGCCGGGCGCGGGGGGGGGGCGGTGCACGCTGGCGGGGCTGGCTGACCCGGCGCGGATGAGGGCCGCGCGGCTGCTGTCGCGCGCGGCTGCTGTCGCGCGCGGCTGTTTTCTTTCTCAAGAACAACCCAGAGCCGTTCTTGCCAATCGATTGGGCGGTGGAGCTTTCCAAAAGCCAAATGTGGGTGGCGCGCGATGGCGTGGAGGTCGGCGCGGCTGCGGCCCTCTCAGGTGAGCAAATATCTTGGCTCTCCCGCTGAGGGGGCATCGCTGCCCTCGTTGGCGCCGTGGCACTCTGTGAGGGCAACGTCCCAGAGGCGATGCTTGATGCGGACTCCATCCTGCTGCCCGAGGGCGTGCGCGTGGTTCAGGTGCCGCGGGCGAAGATCTGGGCGTTTCGCGAGACGTGGTGCGATCTGGTCGCTGTCCTGTGGGATCGCCCGCTGGAGGGGCCGGTCGCATTGAAGGACGTGCTCCACGTCGACGGGCGCCCCGTGCTGCGCGGCGCCTGCGGCTCGCGCGAGGGGGCAGAGCGTTCGGTGGCCATCGAGGATGGATCGCGCGGCCGCGTGCTCAGGCCCATCATGGATCTTGCCCCGTCGAACGTAATGCAGCGGGCCGTCGGGGGCGACGGTGGACCAGCTCCCGTTGTCATCGCAGTGGTCGACCATCGCGCTCCTGGCGCGCGAGATGATGTTGTGGACATGCTGATCGGTTGTGCCTCTATTACTTGTTCAGGCTGCTGCCTTGCTGTGTGAAGCCAGCCCAGCAAGGGGCTCGTGCGTGGGGCCGGCGCGACCGAGGCCATGGGCTAAATCTCGCTGACAGGTATCTCGCGGCATATCCATCTCAGCATCTTGCGCCGATGATGGCAGCTCTCCGCCTGCTTGCCCAGAAAGGCTGAGTGGAGGCGCGACCGTCCGTTTCCGCTCGCAGCGCTGGCCGAGGAGGGTTCCGCCTGGGAATTCTACATCGGCAAGCTGGAAGCGCGGGGGACTGTGGCCAAGGAGGGCGGGGACGTGCTCATAGGCTCATAGGCTCCGTCGTCCTGCTGCTACTTGCTGCGCGAGAGGCCCACTTGCGCTGCGGGGCGCCCGGGGTTTCTGCCGGCGACGCGCAGAGGGCCGGCGAGGCCTAGGCGCTCGGGGGCCGCGCGACCTCGGCGGGAAGGATGCCCCCCGCGGATGCGTCCCCAGTTTTCCTTCGCTCGCGGTGTAGGTTCTGGGGCGGCCTGGCGCGAGCGGGGCGCGCTGGCAGATTGTGCTCGGACGCTGGATTTGCGCGCGCGCGCGACTCTTGCTCCGGGCTCATCGGCGAGGCTGCGCGTATCCTGGTCAGATCTGCCGCGTGCTGATGCGGCGCCTCCACTGGGGTCCCTTTGAGCTGTGCAGGCCAGATGCGATGCGCTGGGTGGCCGCGGTGGCTGGCGGCAGGGCATGCTGGGCGCCGGCCCAGGTCCCGTGTCGAGATGGTTGGCGCCGGGCGCGTCGTGAGCAAGTGGGGCGGGCCCTGCGGCTCGTCTCCCGACGGTTGCGCGTCGCGAGAAGCGGAGCGAGTCCCAGCCCGTGCCCGCCAGCGTCAAGCTGTGCGACGATCGGCTTCGGTACGCTGAGCAGAGGACGATTGCGGCATGCCGCCTGATCAGTGCATCGAGAAGCATTTCGTCCCGCGCCAGGGCCAGCTGCGCCCGCCATCGGCCGAGGGGCGTGAGATCCTCATGGGCTACGGCGAGGGCCGCGCGAAGGTCGCCGTCACCTCAAGCGTGCTCAATGGCGCCCCCCAGAATGCAGAAAGTGTCCGGCGCGGTCTCCTTGGCGACGCTTACCACGTCGAGGTCGTGGCGTGGCTGCTGGGGCATCTTGCCATGGGGCCCTTTGCAGACGCCGCTGTCAGCGGCAGAGCTGCGGGGCGGGTCCCAGGGGGCGGGGGTGGAGCGCTCGTCATTGCTCTCGCAAGGGTTCGCCCCTGATCAGGCTCAGGTGCTCGACGCCATGCGGTCCGCGAGAGCCGGCAGCGACGTGCGCATTTTGACCGGCGAGGGTGCGTGGCGGCCGATGTAAACGAATTCGAGATGAGGGCTTCCTGTCCGCGCTTGAGTGGCGGCTGCGCGCGGAGAGTGCAAGTTTCTCTATTCACGGGACAGCCGCGTTTCGATTGCTGTCTTAGTCGGGCATCGTTCGGAGAACATCCAGTTCAATCGCGTGGCTCGCAACGTGGCGGCATTGGAGACGGCCTCAAGGAGCGTGGCCGCCCTGGGGTTCTGTTGCGATTCCAGCGAGTTTCTCCCCGAACCCGCATTCGTTATCGTCGCGCTGCGTGTATTCCTGGTCGCCGTCGGCAGCGGCAGTCAGGCTAGCCGCTCGCCGTGGGGCCGCGCCTGCTCGACGGCCAATTGGGCATTTGCTCGGGGCGCCTCCGTCTGGAAGTCGAGGGGGGCCTCGGAGGCGACGCGCTCGGTGGCGTGCAGTTTTTCCTGTGCCGCAGGCAAGTTTTTGTCTGAGCGCCCGGGACTTGTTCCGAGTCTGGGGCCGGATCGAGATGCCCGGGCGCGCCCCGCCATGCATTTCCATGATGATTCTCGCGCTTGCCCGCTGGATGTGGCTGGAGGGTCGGCGCGACGCCGCGATCGCGTCGGTCGCCGCCATGCGCTGCCTCGCGACGATTGGAGAGATGTTCGCCATGTCCTTCGAGCACGTGGCCATGGGTGCGGAGGGCTCTGATGTCATCGCGCGCCGTGGCCCAAGAGCGGCGCGCGGCGAGGTGCTCGGGAGGTCATCGCAGTTGACGGCCCCATAACTAGTCGGCCCCAAGCTCTTTCCGCCGTGTGTCGCCACGCGACATGACGCGTCGATGTGCAGATCAATTTTCCGGCCCAGCGCACTGCCAGGGAAGGCGGAATTGCTTCCCTGAGGGCCACGGTCTCATGTTACATCTTCGCTAGACAGGTATTTGCCCATGGGCTGTCAGAGCCAGCGGCCGCAGCAGCAGCAGCAGCGCTGGCGCTCAACGCGTGGCGAGGCCCAGGCTCCCGGCTCCTGGATGGGACGGGCTTTCAGCGTCGCAGCGTGTTCGAGCAAGGCTGCGCGGCGCTGGGCCTCTCGCGCCTCGAGCTCAAATCTTGCAGCTTGCGCCGCGGTGGCGCGACCCGCGACCTGTTCGCCCGCGGCGATTATTCGTGGAACGATATGAGGGCGGCCCGCGTCAACATCAACGGCGTGCTCGCCGCTCTCGCCCAGAAGGTGCGCAGCCCAGACTGTTCATGCAGCACGATTTCGCAACGTCTTGCGGAGTTTGCGAGGATCCTTGCCATCCTTGCCTCGTCGTGCACCATCGTGATTTCGTTTCAATGTGCTATTGTTCTGTGTTCCATACTTTCTGAGCTTCGCTCTTCCTAGCCCCCGCGTCCCCTAGAAGCCTCCTGTTCCCTTTGTGCCTCCGGTCCCCCTTCTTCACTTTTGCCCCGGTCGGCCTGGGCTTTCGTTTGGCCCATGGGCAGGCCCTTGCCGGGCCCTTCGGGGCGGCCCCTGCGGGGCGGAGGCTTTCAAGTGGGGTGTGATGAGAGGGGGTCTGGAAAAGTTTTCACTGCATGCCAGCCGTGAGGTTGTCCGTATGGCGGCGCCACCAAATGTCAGCACGCCCTTCGCATGTTTCGTGGCACCATCGGGAGCTCCATCTAAGGCTCCAGTGTGGTCGTCCGTATGGCACCGCCGCATTGTTGCGGCACACCAATCACGCGTTTATTGGCATTACCGGGAACGCCATCTAAGGTCCCAGAGGGCCATCAGTATGGCGGCGCCGCCACGATTCGGCACACCCGTCACGGTTTACGTGGCCCCTGGGGTCCACCTAGGCCTAAGGCCCTGGCGGGGTCGTCCGCATGGCGGCGCCGTTTCGTTTCGGTACAATCCCCCCTCACACGTTTCGTTGCCCCATGGGGAGCTCGGGGTCTCATCCTACGCCTCCATTGGTGTCGTTTGTATTGTGGCGGCGCCGTTTCGTTTCGGCACACCACTCACACGTTTCGTGTTCACGTGAAATGGGCTCCACCCAGTGGGGTCGTCCGTATGGCGGCGCCGCCACGTTTCGGCACAGTGAACGTCACGCGTTTCATGGCCACAGGGATCTCCAGCTAGATTTCGTTTATCATGTCATCCTTGTTTGCGGTCTGTATAATCCTCATCATTGGCTTCTCGATTTGTTTGTGGATCCATGCGCAGGAGTCAGCGGTCGCCTCGTTTTCAAAGTTGAGGTCGAAGATTATTACGGTGTCGTTCATGATGGGGCACTTCTCTAAGTTGATTAGAATATAGACTTCGGATCTGTAGTCACATTTGATCATTGGCTTCATCCGTTTCAGTGAGCATCGTCTCCCGCTGATACAGTACTGCCGCGCATCGTACGATGAACCTCCCCATTCCCTACCCCCTAAAAGAAACATTCCCCAACCCTCATAAGTTGCTCGTGCCGCATGTCGATGTCAGTCAACAGCTGTTTCATCGGTTTCATCGTCCCGTGCGACGTCTTTGACATAGTCATCTTTGCCTTTTGGCTAGCAGATCAGCTGCCATAGCGAAGTCGCGTGGCGCGAACGGGGCTTGGTCCTACGGGATGTCCTCGGGAACATTGCCATTCCAGCAGACCAGCAGCATTCGGAATCTCTGGCAGCGCAACCTTCAATCCGTCGCTCTTCCCGGGCGGTTTCGACTCATCCCTAGGCCTCAGTGGTGGGGGTCGCCCGTATGGCGGCGCCGCCTCGTTTCGGCACGCCACACCTTTCGTGGCCCCATAAAAGGGCTCGAGCGAAGGCCCCAGTGGTGTCGTCAGTAAGGCGCCGCCTTTTCATTCTGGCACACCCATCGCGATTCTCGTGGCCCCATATGGGGGCTCCACCCACGACCCCAGTGAAGTCGTCCGCATGGCAGCGCCACTTCATTTCAGCACACCTCTCACATGCTTCGTGACACCATCGGGAGCTCCAGCTAAGGCCCACTGGGGCCATCCGTGTGGCGGCGCCCCCTCGTTTCGGCACACTCCTCACACGTTTCGAACCCCCATGCGGAGCTTCACCTGAGGCTCCAGCGGCCGTGCTCGCGTGCTGGACGGCTGCATTTCGGCACACCCATCACACGTTTCGTGGCCACATAGGGAGCCGATGACCGCATGCTGGGCGGCCTCATTTCAAGGGGAAGATGGACGAGGAAACGTTCCAAACCACCTCCGCCCAGAGGGCTGGTGGGACTTTTTCTGGGTCTGGAGGGGGGGGCTTCGGGACCTGGCAGGAGGGAGCATCCGGGGACCAAGGGAGGACGGCGAGATGCCCAGGCCCCTCGGTGCTCCAATCGCCTCCTGTTCCTCCTGCTGCTGCTGCCGCCCTTGCTGCTCCCTCCTGCTGCTGCTGCTGCCCCTTCTTCTCTTCCTGCTCCCGTTGCTCCCGTTGCTGCTGCTGTGCTGCTGCTGCCCCTCTGGCTGCTGCTGCTGCTGCTGCTGCTGCCCCTCCTTCTCTTCCTCCTCCCGTTGCTCCCGTTGCTGCTGCTGCTGCTCCTGCCCCTGCAGCTGCTGCTCCATGTGGGGAGCCTCGAAGGTTCAATACTCTGTGCGCCTGGTGGCCCGAAAAGGAGGGGGGCCAGGGGGACTCGGGCGCCACTGGAAGACCATGGCGCAGGCGAAGCAGCGCGCGCCGCGGGAGAGGAGGTCCGGGCACCCCCATAAATATATACCACGAGTGCTTTCATCCTTCCTCCCCCCTTCCCCTCGTCCACCGACGACGAAGGTAGGCTGGAAAGCGATTGCGAGGGGGGGTAGAGGGGCGGAGGAGGAGGAGGAGGAGGACCAGTGTAAACCCAAGAAACATCAACGATGTTGGAGTAAACCCTCCCTCTAAGCTCCCTCTGCATCTACAACGGTTCATTCCCATTGAAGGAAGTGCCTCTTTGGAAGACAACCGTTTGAAGACCCAGAAGCATGCCAAAACATTGTTCTCGGAATTCCAACACCACGGATCAACCTGACTGTTGCGTCTTGGCAGTCCTGAGTCGTGCCAGAACACCATTTCTGGGACGTCAGCACAGCGAATCAACATAACTGTTGCACCCGCATAATCCTGAATTCTTTTGAAATATTATTTCTGACACGTTGATGATGGGAATCCGTGAAACTCTGGCACATTTTGAAAACGGATGTGCGCCGCGCTAAGGCGAGAGCCAGATTCTGAAAATGAACCGCCCTCAATCCGTGAAACTCTTGCAAATTTTGCAAACCGATGTGCGTCACGCTAAGGCGAGAGCCACATTTTGAAAACCACCCGCCCTCAATCCGTGAAGCTCTTGCAGTCTTTTCAAACGAATGTGCGCCGCGCTAAGGCGAGAACCACATTTTGAAAACGACCTGTCTTCCATCTGTGAAGCTGTTGCCAATGCTTAGACTTCAGAGTCATAAGTGGTGAGGAAGTCTCAGCCGAAACGCGCGGCCCGCCCTAAAAACTGGCTTCGGGGTGCGACAGGGAGTAGTTATGTTTAAGGAAAAGGAATGGAAGAGGAGGAGGAGCAGGAGGAGGATGAGGAGGAGGAGGAGGAGGAGGAAGGCGAGGAGGAGGAGGAGGAGGAGGAGGAGGAGGAGGAGGAGGAGGAGGAGGAGGAGGAGGAGGAGGAGGAGTAGGAGGGGGACGGAGGCTACGAAGGACCATCAGGAATCGGGAATCAGGAGGAGGAGGAGGAGAAGGAGGAGGAGGAGGAGGAGGAGGACAAGGAGGAGGAGGAGGAGGAGGAGTGAGAATGGCGGCCGAGGAAGACCAGACCGAGGAAAATAGGAAGGACGATGTGGACTCGTCCTGCTGCTTCACCGCTTCTTCCTCCGATTCGTCATCCTTTCACTCCACCTCCCCTCTTGCTTCCCTACTACTGCTGCTGCTGCTGCTGCTGCTGCTGCTCCTGGCAGGAGGGGCGTCACGCGTCGCTGGCCTCGTCGTGATCGTCGGTGTCGTCGGTGGCGTCGGCGGCGTCGCCGTGCTGCTTTTTTGGGCCACGCAGAGGGCTTCGCTGGCGTCGTTCCGCCAGCAGGGGCTGCTGAAATTCAACAGCAAGGGGATCTGCCAGCCGAGGCCCGCCACGGGTCCTGTTGGCCATTCGTCGTCGTCGTCGTCGTCTCCGTCTTCTTCCTCTTCTCCTCATCGTCTGCCCTGTGGTCCTTGTTGTCGTTGTCGTCCTACTCGTCATCGGCGTCGTCTTATTCTTCCTCCTGCCACGTTCCCCCCCTTCTCCTGCGAAGTCTTCGCGTCTCGGAGAACACAGCGACCCTCCACACATTCTTTCATGCGTCATCCACCTCCAGATGAAGATGCTCTACTGGTGCCACGCTCAGAGGAACCTCCGCAACCTATCTGCATCGGCTTCCTCCTGGACTCCCAAACGCACAGTTGCCTTCACGGTGTCGATGATCGAACCAGATACGATGGCGGCAGAGATGCACACCGTGCCATACCGCAAAGTCACCCGTGACCCAACAGCGGCGACATGCCTTCGCCGCGTTCGCAGACGCGCTGATCCCAAGGGGTGTGGGTCAAATCCTGCACCTGGTGACATCGATGAGCGAATGTTGGTCAGGACGCCGCGTGCAGGACTCCCCAGAGGTGATTGATTCGTCCTCGTCTCTGCGGTCATTCGCCCCCGTTTTGCCCAGCATCAGTACCCCCTCGGTGAGGGGCGGGCGCCACGAGAAGGGTCAAAGGCACTGCGACGACATGGGTGCGCCCTTCGGCGTCTCAGAGGAGCTCTTCCTTGCCAGATGGTCTCTTCCGCCTTTCGGTTGCGCTGAATGGCTTCGCAGAGGGCATCGTGGAGCTGCCTGATCACCAGAGCTTCGAGGCTTCGGAGCTCGCGACTAGCCTCATCTGTTTTATCTAGAGTGTCCACTTCAACCACAGCAAGGCCGACATGTATACAATTCTATCATCAGCTGAGTGCGATCCCGCCCGCGTCGGACGCGGCGCTAGTCGCCTCATGCTGCGTCCACTCGTCTTCCTGTACCTCCTCTCCGCCTCCATCCTTCCCATCCTCGTCACCTTGGAGCTCGTGGGCATACCCGAGCACAGCGCTCAGTCCCGGGCTGGCGCGCTCGGGAGGCGGCGGACGCGGCCGTCGCCAAGCTCAAGGCGCAGCACTGCGAGGCGCACGCCCTAGTCGCGGCCCTTTAGATCTGGATGTCGTCGAGGTGGCGCCCTTGCCCTGAGGCGACGCGCTGCGGCGCCGGCGGCTCATCGTGTCGATGCTCGCCGCTGGCGTCGCGGGCGTGGGCCTCGTTGGTTCCACGAGGGCCAGGAGAGGAACCCGGCCGTGCACGCCGTTGGCGGAGAGCCGCTTCGCGTGCCTGCCGCACCTCCCGTGGATCTCTGCCGTGCCTGCTGCGCGGCAGTCTTCGGCTCACTGGCGGTCGACACTCTCGCGGGGGAGGAGCTGGCCGAGGTCGCGCTCGATTCGCGCCAGTTTGCTGCCCGCGAGCTGGATGAGTTTCGCGGATTGGGGTCCCTCGCCCCCCTGGGGACGGCTCTGAGGAGGGGAATGCAGCGGCTGCCTCGGTCTCGACGGCGTACTCGCAGGCGGTGCCAGTGGCTGCCGTGGAGTGGGACGACCACGTCGGCCTGGTCGACAGGCAGCTGAAGGAATGGGAGGCCGAGGGGAGCGCGTCCCAGCCGTTCGTCCGTCGACGGGCGCGACTCGATCAGAAGCAGCAGTCCGAGGCTGCTTTCCCATCTTGGGAGTCCAGCGAGGCGTGTGCTCGACTCCTTCGGAACGCCGATGTCCCACGGGGCCGTGGCGGCCGTCCTCGGACACCCGTGCGGCCGCACCGGCTAGGCCGCACATCGACTATTCGGCAGTGGTTTGAAGCAGCGGATCAGGATCGTCGGGATCAACACTGGTCGCAGCCGCCACGGCCGCGAGCGACAGTCAGAGAGAGCGCCAGCAGATGTGATGCAGTCGAAGCCTGCAAACCTCTTTCTTACCGATTTGATTCGTGGAAGCTTGGATCGCGTATGTATGTAATGTATGTATGCCTGTCGGGTGTATGTGTGTATGTATGTATGCATGCATATATGTATGTACATATGTATGTATGTATGTATGCATGCATGCATGCATGCATGCATGCATGTATGAATGAATGTATGAATGAATGTATGTATGTATGTATGTATGTATGTATGTATGTAGTATATGTATGCATGTACGTACGTCCATACGCATGCTTATGTATTTGTGTATGTGTATGTGTATGTGTAGGCGCATGTGTATGTGTATGTGTATGTGTATGTGTGTATGTGTATGAGTATGTGTATGTTTATGGATGCATGCATGCATGTATGCATATATGTATGTATGTATGTATGCATACATGCATATATGTAAGTATATATATATATATATGTATTTGTCGGTGTGTGTGTATATGCATGTATGTATGCATGTGTGTGTAAGTGTATGTGTATGTATATGTGTCTGTATGTGTTTGTATGTATGTCTGTCTGTCTGTGTGCATGTATGCATGTATGCATGCATGTCTGTATGTATACCTGCATGCATGCATGTATGTATGCATGTATGCATGTACGCATGTACGCATGTACGCATGTACGCATGTACGCAGTTATGCTTGTATGCATGTATGCGTGCATGCATGTACGCGTTTATGCATGTATGCATGTATGCATACATGCATGTATGCATGCACGCATGCACACATGTATGTACGCATGCATCTATGTGCGTATGTATGTGTATGTATACGTATAGGTCTATGTATACGTACATGTATATACCTATGTATATGTATACGGATATGTATACGTATGTGTATGCGTATGTGTATATGCATACATATATGTATATGTATATGTGTATGCATATGCATATGTATACGTATATGTAGATGTATATGTATAGGTATATGTATACATTTACGTATATGTATACGTATGTGTATATGCATATGCATATGTATATGTATATGTATATGTTTATGTGTATGTGTATGTATAGGTAGATGTATATGTTTGTGCATATGTATACGTATATGTATATGTATAAATGTGTATATATGTATATGCATACGTATATATATATATATGTGTATGTATATGTTCATGTTTATGTATATGTATATGTACATGCATATGTATTTGTATATGCACATGTATGTGTATATGTATATATGTATGTATATGTAAACGTACATGTACATATATATATATATATATATATATATATATGTATGTGTGTATGAGGCCACAAGAGGCAAGCACCATTGATTTCCCATGGCTTTTTCAACGTTATTGGGGTTCCGACGCTCCACGACGTCCCAAGAGGCCTCCAAGACCGCCCCAAGACGGCCCAAGGGACCCCTTAGACCGCCCCCAGACGGGCCAAGAGGGTCTCAAGGCGGCCCCCAAAGGGGCACAAGACGTCCCAAGAAGGCCCCACGACGGCTTCAAGAGGGGCTCACGAGCAGTAGCCCGAAAGGACAATTCGAGCCTTCCGTCACAAGATACCCCCAGACGGCCCAAGAGGGCTCGCCGAGCGCTCCTCAGAGGGCCCCAAGAGGCAAAAACCTCAGATATTCTAAGGTTTTCAGTGCTTTCGGGCTTCTCGACTTTTCCAGCTTCCAGCGTTCCACGACGTCCCAAGGGGCCCCCAAGACCGTCCCGAGACTGACCGCCAAGAGGACCCCAAGAGCGCTCAAAGACGGCCCAAGGGGGCCCCGAGCGGCCCTGGAGGCGCCCAAGACGCCCAAAGACGCTCTCAAGAGAGGCCCGAGCGCAGGAGCCCGAAGCGATATTCGAGTCTTCCGTCCAGCATGCCCCCAGACGACTTCAGAGGACTCGATGAGCGCTCCCCAGATGGCAGTAAGAGGCAAAAACCAATTATTTTCCGTTGGCTTTTATGTGTTTTCAAAGGTCCCGACTTTTCGAGTTTCTGGCGCTCCACGACGTCTTAGGAGGCCCCCAAGATCGCCCCGAGACAGCCCAAGAGGCCCCCAAGAGGGTCCCAAGTTGGCCCAAGAGAACCCCTAGACGGCCTTAGACGCGCCCAAGACACTCCAAGAGAGCTCCGGGACGGCCCCAAGAGGGCCCCAAATTTAACATACATTGAACACAAACCGCTTCCTCGTCAACGACGGCATTGTGTTAAATCTGTGTTGCATTGCTGGTGCTCGGGGGGCGCTCTGGGATTTCCCTTGGCGCCCCTTTGGGCCCTCCAAGGGTGTCCTCTACAGCTCTTTTGGGGTGCCTGTGGGAGTTTCAGGAGAGACCTGGGAGGCCTCTGGAGGCCCTGGAGGCCCCACAGGTCTC